CTTTCCAAAACTACGCCCATATAAAAAAATTGTGCCACGCACAATCAACAATTAAAGCTTCATACCAAATTTAAAAGAAATGACGTCAGACGTTTCCTTGTAATAAAAACACCTAATTTTTCATACAATTTTAACATCACGTGGGTATCATATTGGTGAAGCTTTTTATTAAACCATCCATAAACTTAATTTTGAATTTAAAAGAGAATAAATACCTACCTTATTACGACGAAATAAGTGTATTTTTCTCACATAATGTATGTACCTGTATATAAATTAATTTTGGCAATTAATAATGTTGAAAAACAATGTGGAATACTTTCAGGAAAGTTTGTTTTGGTTGCTGTTATATTTTGTAACTAAGCAGGCGTAAAATAATATGTGAAGTAAAATAAAACAACAGTAACAACATTAAAAGGTTATTGCTACTAAGATCACCTACGAAATATACGGATTCAGATATCATCGGTTAATATTAATGAATTAAAGAATAGTAATAAAATTTTATAATGCATGTTTCTGAAGCGAACCAAATTAGTTTACTGTTAATAACTTTTTATTTATAGTTTGTTCATGTAAAATCAAAAATAAATATGCAAAGTGCGAGAATATAAAAATTGAATTCTTAAAACAATGAAAAAACAATGGGAAAATACTCGGTAAAAACTTTCACTAAGGAATTTTAATACCAAAGTTTTAGTTGTAACCTATTCTTATAGTAGAAAGAGCATGCGCATATTAGATAAATATTTTGAAAAAAAAAAAAACGTTACAAGCGTTTATATCTCATAAAAGAAAGAAAAACATTTTTGATCCGAAAATCATTATGGAAAATTAGTTGTGTCTGAAATTAAGGTTAAGGCTAACGTAGACAATATTTTCATATTTAGCAAATCTTTGACTTCTTTTCCCAAACAATCAGTAAGTAAATTAGTAAGGTCATATCACGGAAAAGTAAATTAATAAGATAGGTACCTAAAGATCTACTCGAATTTTTAGAAATACAAATAAATCAATTGTAAAGGATAAAAATGATTACTCTAAAGCCTACCTTGTCCAGTTGACATTGTATAACACAACTTTTACTTAAAACCGCCTTAAGGAGACAGTAAATATTGCAACAAAAACCAAAGAACGCCAGTTCACAGAACTTATGGAGAAAGTGGCGTTAGTCTGTTGATCAGCCATCTTGCACTGTTTGCTGCGCAAGTCCGAACTTACAGAATGCAGCTGCATTTTGTGCCGACGCTATTCATCCGAAAACTTGTGGAGGGTTGAGGGAATGGAAAGGACATATTACCCACATTGGTTTTGAACAGTCATCAATATGGAAGTTCCCAATTTGATAAATAGAAAGTCCTTTGTTTCTAAATATAATTCTTGGAAGTAATTCCTGTTGTTTATGAAATAATAGCAAGAATATTTATATATTTACCTATTAGATAACACTATACTTACTGAAAGTCCAAACTTAAAACTATTTAACTGCTTTAACTTATAAACTTAAAAAAAACTATTATTACTTTGCTCCTTACAATCGGTAAAAACAAATGTAAAATACTTATAATGTACTTACCTATTACAGAAAATTTGATGAAACTAGTTTAACTTCATAAATAGGTATTTTGCATTTGTCATCATGTTAGAACGGCGTAGATATACCGTGTGTTAACAGAACTGCTAGTAATTAGGTACCGCGGTTTTCAAGATACGACAAAACAAGAAGCTGACTTTTTTAAAACATGATTCGTTATTGATTTTTGACAACCTGTTTTTACCTAAGTAGCTATTAATATTTTTTTTTGAAAAATCCATTTATAGGAAATTAATAAAAATTCCTATAAAATTAAGGTATATTAACTATAGGCATTGGTTTTTGGAAAATGTTTAGAACATGATTATAACATCACAGAAAATAATGAGTAAATAAATCAAATTTGTTACTAAGACTAATAAAAAAAAATGGGAATTTAATACTAAACATAATTTGTCAAAAACAAGAAAACCATCTCCTCGCCTAAATTTAAGAAATTTTATTGTAGATACCTATTGCCTTAGACGCTTTCATTTTTCAGATATAGGATATTGAAGCTTATGAAACAAATGTTAAACATATATTTAAACATCTTCGCAAAAATTTTGTGTGTACTACATAAATGAAATGTCTTGTAGATATGAGGTATGCCGATTATTTTTTTATTAAAATTTACATACTGTTGGACAAAGGTGAAAAAATGTTGACGTTATTGTATAGTTCTAACGTTTTGTACAAATTGGTAATTAGTAAAGATATGTTTAGATAAATGTGAAAACTCCTCACATATCCTTTTACACTCTGTTATCAATTTGCTCAATTTTTCATTTTGAAAATTTTACACCTCATACCTCAAAGCGAAGCCATCAAGGGTAAATATTTATGTAAGACGATATACTTAAATTTTGATGAGGAAACCCCCTCAGTTTTCAACACGCTGTTGTGGAACCCCTTATGTAATTCTAAAATCGCTAATGTACCTACATCAAATAGTAAAACTTATGCATTAAAGTAATTCAGAAAGAATCAAATGTGTAAAATTAAGATTAAAAGTGTAATTCTTAGAGCCACTGGGTCAGTTAATGGTTTCAGGTCATTTTATTATTGTACTGTATATACAAAGCTTGCCCTCATATATATCAAAAACAAGAGTTCTGGAGAGTACCTTTTCATAAAAAATATGTTGTTAATTTTAGGATAGAGCAGTTTTATATTTATGACTCGTTATTATACCCGGTATACATAAACGAGTATGGAGAAATTACTAAGAAATCATGAATCTAATGATCGATACTAATGATTATATCTGTTTTTAATATTAACCTAATTAAGTCTATTTAATGCAAAGGTAACTATATTTCTTCAGTCCATTTATATTTTTTAACTACCTATCCATTATTATTTAATGCGTTGCTTATTACACGTACATTTAGATTAAAATAAAGCCAAATTTATATATTTATATTTACGTACATATTTCATTTGTGATAAAAAATAAAACTGATTTGATCTACCTAGAAGTAGGTAAATAAAAAAATATATACATACCTATTTTATTTAAATTTTAAGTAGGCATCATTTAAGTACATATTTATTCTTAGTCGGTAATGCCGAAAAGTGTCGGTGTGAGAAAGCAATATTTACACTTATATCATAATGGGCAAATTTCTTAAGTCCATTATAAATATTTGTCAAGTCGGGATTATTCATCATAATCTTGTTCCTGTGAAGTACGACGGTTGTCAAAATATTTTACAAATTAGCCATCCCTTGGGATCGCAGCGGGTGGGTACATGTATAAAGGGTTATTTAAGTAATGGAATCCTGTAGAAATAGGTATATGTACAAATTTATTTTAAATATTAATTTTCTTTTAAAAATAATTCCAATACAGTAGTTATTTTTAACCCGCGTTTAATAAATATTAATCTTACAAACTAGTGACTGGTTTTCATTAAAATACTGTTTACAATGGCCGTTTGATATAACACTGTTTGATAAATATTTTACAAACAGTTTCCTCGACCTATTCATCATATTCACACTACGACCTAAAAGAATAATGCAGGCATTTTCCTTAGTTTAAGTAATTTATGGCTTTAATACATCTGCCTTGGGAATGTTGCCTAAAATTATTATCAACATTTATATTATTTTTCTTATAAATGTCTTTAGGTATAAATGAATTTTAAAAAATATAATATACATTCAAGATTGTATAACAATTTTGCAGTTCTGTTCAAATGAATAAGTAGGTTATAATTGATTTAAACACACTTAAAATTTAATCTTGCTCAAATTCTAACAATTTTTTATTAACGATAATAATTCGAAGCACAATTACTTTGGTTATTGTTTGCAAATGTTGAATGTACAATTTATTTTTATATATAGTATATTCACGAAAAATTTACCTCTCTGTAACTTGTTATAAAGACTGCAGTACGCTTCTTCGCTCAATTTTTCTTTCTAAAAATCGCCCTATTGGTTTCCAATACATTATTTATCTAGGTTTTCTTTCAGAAAATGAAATAAAGATAATCTTTAGTTTCTCAATTAGGAGTATTAACTAAGAAAAAACAAAAACCTATAACTGCATTGCTGAAATGGTCATTACAAACATTCATTAAATAATACAGTCAGAGATTGTCCTGACATCTACTTTTTCTTATTTTTTTTTTCTGTTTTTTTTTACTATTTTGTATCTGTGAGAAAAAACTTGAAAATAAATTAAATAAACACGCCAAAAAAATCAGCCTAGAGTTGTTTTTATGAAACTGTTTTTACCTAACCAAAATTTACTTATGATTATATGACTTCACCTAGTTTATGTTTCTAAAATTATTCTATTTTCGTTTTCAAAGTTAAGAGAAGTGATGAACATTTTCTATTTATCTTCCTTTTTTTAGTGTTGGATTTTTTGTTAGACAGAGATGGTTTCATAAAAATCATCCTTACTTGATGATCTACTTGCCGTTTTCTACAGTTCATTTTCTTAAATTTCCCACGAATGTCAAAGTTGCGTACCTACTTATTTTTTTATAGAAACCAGACAAACTACAACTGCCGTTAATAAACCATTTCAGAAAATTTAGTTATTATTTAATCATTTTGTACAGTCGATACATTAATTTAGAGCATTTTGAATCTCTCTAATTTACTTAATAATACATTTAAAGAATTATTTATTTTATTTTACTTTTTCAAAAAAATCTAGAAAATTACCTAGCTGACAGATTTTTAAAAAGAAAATCATTTTCACTTAAAATTTTTGAGAACCCGAGTCATTGACTGCATCTACATTTAAAATTAAAAACTTAATATGCATAAAGTTACAGGAGACAACTTTTCATGCTTTGCTAAGATACCTATATCACTTGAAAAATTTTCTCTGTTTCAGTTTTCAATGTTCCTACCTATAAAATATATACATTTTTGATTTTTGCTCTCATTTCCCTTAACAACACTACGGTGAAACGGGCGGTCCCGGAATATTTTTAAGAGCAGTTAAAGGTCGAGCAATATCGTCGTCAAACGAGTTCCTGTTAGAATCAACCGTTGAAGTCTCCATCGGTATTTCACTAGGATTGCCATAAAAGCCTTTTGGGAAGTTGGTTGACGACGAAAATATGTTTTGGTTCATGTTTATATCTTCCGAGTTAGTATATTCATGTGGCAAACCGCCAAATTTACTGTCCTTTTTGGCTTTCATTCGTCTGTTTTGGAACCATATTTTTATCTGACGTTCGGTTAAACACAATGTGTGAGCGATTTCTATTCGGCGGCGCCTCGTTAAGTACTTGTTGAAATGAAATTCCTTTTCCAATTCTAGGGTCTGATATCTGGTGTAGGTTTGTCGCGTTCTTTTACTTCCTTTAGATCCCAAATCTGCTGCAATCAGAATCATTAAACTTATTGGTGATTTCTAATCAAGTTTTAAATTTAATTTTGAAAAATTTGTTTATAGGAAAATAATCTAAAACTATACTGCCACATATATTATGTCAATATTTCGGATTTTGATAAATCATGTTCACATTTGGATATCCGTAGTTAATGTTAAAATAAATTAAATAGATTAAAGTAAAAGCAACACCAATTAACATTGCGTTTATTGTACCAAAGTAATAATCACGTTCATATTTAGGTAATTATTTAACAACAAAAGGAACCTAATACATAGTACACGCGGTTCAATAAACGTGGAAAAGTATAATTCAGGTATACAACTTTATTAAAGCAAGGAAGAAATCAAGACAAAAAAAGTTTGAGTCTACTAAATTGAATAATTCGTAATCATGCATCTCCTATCTATTTCGGTTTTGCAAAATAACAGAAATTTCATAATTTTATATTTTTCAAATACACAATTCAAATTATAATAATATAAAAAAATTGTTGTGTTTACTTTATTTAGTAATTCATATTATCAAAGATTTCTCTCAGGACTTTTACTGAAAATACTGATATACCTATTTCAATACTCCTTCATCTAGATAAATCCATAGGTACATAAGAAAATTATTTTGATGGTTTGTTCCTGATATGTAACCACAAAAATCAGTACTTTAATAATCAGATCTCTCAAAATAGAATCTACTTTTCGTCTTTACAATTATACAATCATCGCAGTTATTTAGTTTAAAAATTTGTTTAAATTCATTGCAAAAGACTGAGACGAATAGTTATTTTCCACGTTAACTTATCTATTTTAAAAAATCATACTTAGGTACATTTTTACTTTATTATAGAGTTAAATTTCAAAATTCATTTGCTCTTAACAGATATGTGGCAATATGTTTAAAATATGCTAATATTGACTTTTGAAGACTTTTCTTTTGTTTGTATGTATAAATTTTTTTTTGCCATATAAAACTATTTGCACGATGTAAACAAAATTAATAAAAAATGTAATTTACCATTCGAACTTTTCATCCACGGGTAAAAGTTAGCTTGTGCGACTGCTAAAGCTTCATCGTTGTTTTGTTCTTCGACAATAATCTTGTCTTTACTAAACGATGGCGATTCCTTATCTTCACAATTATATTCACCGTCTTTTTGGTGCTTATCATTATACACAATGTTATCGTAAGCAGCCTTTTGGTATTCATCATGTGCTGTCTTATGTAAATCAGAGTAATCGTAGTTAATTTTCTTACCACCGGGTTTACTTAATAATGCCCGCAGAGCGGGCGAATCGTCGATCTTCATTTTGCCCGGCGAATCGTCGGAGTCATTAAGCGATGAACTAGGCCTGGTATCATTAGGAGACAAACCTGCCACTAATGAGTTGTTGTATGGTTGTCTACAGCTGTCAAACTGATTTAAATTGTGGGTAAAATTATGATTCATAGGTGGCGGACTAATAGAATTGTCCGTCTGTGCGTCGAGATTTGAATAAGTTTGATTTATGTTAAACCTACAAGAATTATTATATGTGGGTTCTTCTTTAATCGTATATGAAGGTACTCCATTCATAAATGGATAAGGTAGATGACCTTGGTAACTACCAGCTGCATCATCTTTAGTTAAACTATTCGGAGGCGATATATAATTGTTAGATTTTTGTGAATCATTATAGAACTGGTTAGGTCTATACGCGTGATATGAGTATTGGTTAGAGGCATTCCAAAAGTCACTAGTAAATTCCGTGGACGCACTCATTGTTTCACCACTATCACACTACGGCACAGCACTACTTATTTGTGATCGGGAGTGACATAGAATTGCAACTAAATCTTTTCTGCTAACCGACACGGTCCAGGCACGTTCAGATAAATGTTAAACATTGTCAACTATACCCCAAAAGCATGAGCGGGAGGGGTGGCGACCCCCTAAGGTTTGTCGCTAGCTCTTTTATTTCGCCAGCTGCCCTGTGAAATTTACCCACCCCCGACCATTCAGGACTTTTTCATATTATTTATTGGGGTATTGGCCGTATTGCAGAATGTGAAAGTTAGGAATTCCATTTTGGATATTGGCATTGTAACTATCAACGCTAAATCTCTGATTAATTTCTATACCTACAAACTATATAGTATAAAATTAAATACACTGCTCTTTATTAATATGACAATAACTTCATTATGTTAAGGATTTATTTTTCCTAGGAAGACAAATGAAGTGATAATAGCAGCGATTAGTATTTTAATAAATAACCCCTATTACGTATAAAATAATGGTGTTGTCTGACACCATAATAAACTTTTTATTATTGACAAATTGTTATACGTGGCTAAACATTTATTCTTTGCTTTCTAAATAAAAATTCTTTAAATAAATATATGTATTAGTTGATGCATCTTGTACATAATGACGATATACCATAATGTATTCAATAAAAAATAGCGTTTCATAGAGAAGTGTGTATTATAGACTCCTTGAATTTTTTACCGTATCTACAAGTGTTCTGCTGGAGATATTTTTACGATATGAGATGCAAGAGAATTATTTTTAAAACAATCTTGAAATGGTTGAATAATTTCCGACCTAGTTATTACAATTGTCAATCACTGACAACTGCCGTGTAAGCCTGGAGAAATTTTTGATATACAAATTTCTTTAAATTAAGATTTTCAGAACAGAATATTGAAATTTAGTCGCCTTATTTAAAAATTTTATCACAAAAAAGTCGCACTTGAAGGCAAATTTTAACTGAAACTAGAAATTCATAGTGTCGCCAGGGGCGTGACTGTGGAAAGTGGTGTTCACATAGTTTCCAAAAAAAAAAAAAATGCGCACATTTCCACACTGTTTTTTTTTTATTTCAAGATAGATTTATGAGGAAAATGCGAATGAAAAAAAATAAATAAAAGCTCTGACAATAAGATTATCTTTACTTTAACAGAATACTAATTGAAAAAATACATTTTTAGTGAAAGGAGGTAGTTGACTTCGAAATTGGTGCTAGTCAATCAGAGAATGACCAATTTCGATAAGAGTACTTTTTAGTCAAGCTGGTGGCTGACAACCTGTACGAGACAGTCAAAAACTAATACTATCCTTAATAACTTTATTTTTTTTGTTTTTATCCTACCAATTCTTGAATTTATAGTACAACATTTTTTTTAATATTCAACGAAAAGTCCTTATATTTTACAAAATCATTGTAGCAAATATTTGGTTTTACAAAAAAAAAATAATTCTAATATTTTGACTAACTTTTGGCTGCTACAGAACGTCCGAATGTCCCTACCGATTTAATGTAAAGCTGACTTGAGCAAACGTAAGTCAGGGATCATCTGCTGCGCCACTTCTTTTGATACTACGGTACACAGGTAACAAATTGTTGTACCTAAAAAATGTAGGCCATAGGACAGTCTTCTGAGAATGTATAACTATTTGTTATGTGAATTTACAGCTCCTAGTTAGAGAAGTAGTAAATAAGCAGTAAACTTTTACTGCTAAGGACTAGATGTTTTCATTTTATGGTACCTTATTAGCTTCGCTTAATATATTATTGAACGTTTCCATAATCTGCTCTATTTTGTCTGCTATAAACATTGAATATAAGAAATGTGTCGTCTCCTTCTAGAACAGATTTTAGGATAAGTACCGGGAACTTTTTTTATGCCTTGCGAACAGGTAGAAACTAACCTAACAGTTTTCTTTAAAAAATGTTTAATCGGCGACAAAACAAAAAGAAAAATGTGAAGTAGTACCTAAACACCTATAGTTATTTAATATAAAAGAATAAAATCCACTGATATTTTGTAACATGTGATGGCATTTTCAAATTGAAAGGGATTTTGTTGCGAAACGATCCTGAATTTCGTTAATCATTAAGAAAGAATTAGATGCCTACCTAAGAGTAGATGAATATTACCTGGTTAATAATTAATTTATAAATTTTAGTCTGAAGAATTTCAAACTGGACGATTAAAAATTGTTTATTAACCTTATTCGTTTTATAAACGTAGCTTCAACTGCAAAAAACAGATTTAATTTTAATAGAGAGATTACGTAGGAGATCCGCCTTAAGTCTCACTTCCTACTTTCTTAGGTTCCTACTCTTCAAAATATCAAAATTTGTAAGAAATTTTTTTAATCTTTTAATATCCACGTTGTGCAAACGATTGAGCATCGTGTTGCACAGATAGGTATAGCTATAATATGAGTTTTATTAATTGGAATGACCTGTAAGTATAGTTTTACAACTACCGAAAGAACTTCTTCTTAGGATTACAGTAACCTAAAGTTTGATGGGCCTGTCTCCAGTAGTTAGGGAGATAGAGATAATATGGTTAGCTGGATCTATTTCTAATAGTTTGGGAGATAGAAAGAATATGTCATAAGACTAATATGTCTTAGACAAACACAGTACGAAATAACAGTGTAAGTTGAACGTTCCTTGTGAATGAAATTATTTTGAATGAACTCAATATTTTAACAAAGTAGTGAGCTTATCAATACGTTTTTTAGTTAGAAATTTAAGATTTATCTAGTTAACAAATAGATGAGTGAACATACCCCATGAATAGTGTTGTTATTTCAACAACCTATTTTAACAAAAAATTGTGTTCATTTTCTATCTCCAATAGTTTGGAAGAATCTGCCATAAGACTAATGTGTTAGACAAAGACTTGACTGCCTGCAGACTAATAATAATTTCTTTATAACACATCTATCAAATCTTGTTGCCTAGAGACTAACAATAACTTTTTCCCAGATACAGTTATTTGGACAGGCTTCCCTTACTATTACAGATAGATATACCTTTCAGCCCTGATAACACTGTAATCCTAAGAGATCGTTATTATGTAGTGTATAAAAACAATATCAGATGTAATCTGATTCACAACTTATATACAGGGTGATTCACAACTTATCCAAACAAATTTGGGAATAGATGCGGCATGAGAAATGGAGTCAATATTGTAAAAAAATTTTTGTAAAATCCTTATAGTTTCTGAGAAAAAAAAAATTGAAGTTATAGCACATTAAACCACTACATAGCTGGACAACTGTAGTCTCTAGCGTCATTCGCAATACGCCTGGAGAGCCATGTGACTCCTAATACTGAAATCCGTCGTTGCGGTAGTTTTTACCTGTTATCTGTGGTGATTACAACAGTTTTTTAGTAGTTAGTGTCAAAAATAGTTTGCGTGTATTGCAACTCAGAGTTGATGGATATCGTTTTAATTAATGGTGAAGCAAGACAACATTTGTATTATGGTGAAGTATTTGTGTTATGGTGAAGCAAGACATCATTTGTGTTAGTTCGTAGAAAGTGAGTAAGACGGACCCAAATGTGTTTACACGTTAGTGGATAAAATTTTGAAAAATTGTAGTTGTAACATGGGGTATGTCAAATGATTTTATTATTTAAAAACGTAAATTAATTTTATTAATAATTAATAAAGGCGAAAGCATTTGAATTTGCCGATATAAAATAGGTGCGATAAAATTCTATTTGCATATTTCTTTCCTTGTGAACGTTTTTGTCCGTTTTTATCACGCCGCCATACCGGTCGCATTGTGCGAGGTCAGGTTTTACAGTGGACCAGTTTCCAGTGCCGTGCAGAAGTGTATTTTTAAATCAATTTCGAACTGACCTTTTTGATTTTTTCTTTACAAAATTGTATTTGTAAGGGTCCCCTGTACATCCAGATTTTTTTTTTGGATAAGTTCTGAATCACCCTGCATAAAATGTAAAAAGTTTCCTAGAAATTTTAACCTTACACATTTTCCACGTCAATAAACAACGGAGAAAATGGTGGTGACACTTATGGCGAACCACCCTCTACATATGGCATAAGCAGTTTGATTTGATTATGAACATAAAATTAATAAAAACGTTAATTCTATTGCAGAGAAATAAAAATAGGAACAAATTGAATGAATTAATAAATATTGTTATATTCAGATACCTCAACCTTTTGAGATAAAATAGTGAAATTTGGCTAACAAATTTTCTTTTAGAGTAAAATACTGCAATTAATTTGATTCCTAAATTATCATCAAAATATATGTTATATAATAAAATAAATAAATAACACAAATATAGTTAATTTCTTAGAAGTTTTGCAAAATTACGTTTATAATGATTTCACTATGATGGTATTTTTGTTTTTAGGTAAGAAATTTAAAATATTTGGTACGTACTCAAGAGTAAATATGACTTCAGTTGCGGGAAATTCAGAACATTTTTATAATAAATTTAAATTAGCTAACACATCTCTATTTAATTTTACTAAATAATGTATAATTCTTATATACCTACCTATAAGTATTTATATTCAAAGCAATTAATGACATTTCGATAATACATTTAGAAAAATTTAATAAAGATCGCACCAATGCATTAATATTGCCACACTGAAAGCCACCCCCAGCAAACGTGCACAAGGACAATAGATTATCGCAGCCAATAGTGATTGGTTCCTGTTCGGTTATCGGCCACTGAATCTCATTATGTTCAATACACATACGCATCTCTTTTGTTGGCAACTTTGCAAAGGGGAAACTACATGCAGCAACACTGAATAGGAGTCTGTGAGACTGTGACGCACTATTCGTGTGAAATTTTAAATCGTAAATTAATTACTATAAAGTATGCGTAAAATTGCATTATAGCCATTCATAATTTCGAATACACTGGGGAAAGAATTATTACTTGTTGTGATTTACTTTAACAGGTATATATTTCCGCTTCGCGTAAATTG